GAGTTCTCTTTTTTCCAACTCATATTTACTCTTGGCAAAAACCACTACATCCTCCGTATACCCTACCACACTTGGCAGACCACATAATAGGGGATCCTTGGCTTCAGGTGCACTAGATGATCCAAATGAAGCCTTAGAAAAATGATTGCATGTCTGGTGTGTGATAAAGACTGTTGATCTACCCAACTCTTTCTGATAAATCTACCTGCTAAAACTCCTTTCTGCCATCACATTTTGCAAATGCCTTTAGCCCTTACATAGCTTGCACTGCAGAATGCCATGCACTGTACAATATAACAAATATTTACATAGCATTTAGTATGTATTAGGCATGATAAGTAATCTAAGGATGATTTAAAGTACGTGGAAAGATTTGTGTATGTTACATGTAAATACTATGCTGTTTTATATAAGGGACTTTGAAATTATTGTTTTCCGCGGAGGGTCCTGGACCCAGTACCCCGGTTATGGTGGGCCGACTGTATTTGCGTTTGCCTGTGATGCATGTAAATAACTTCATTGCCACTAGGGGTCTCCAACTCACAACACACGGCAGTGATCTGAGTTCTATGGCGGTAATTACATTTGAAGACTTACAAAGGACACATTAGATGCATCATACTGGGAGTACAGCATAAGCTCTAGTTATCCACACAATTCACTACCCACAATTTTACAAGAAGTCTTATGAACATCTATCAGAAGCACATAAAACAGCAGCTTGTTTGTGACACCGTTTGGTGTTCTGTATTCTCAGACAAAGAATTCCTGACCCATGAGGAATACTTTGTTTCTGACAAGAGCATGTGAGCGGAGTGGAGCGGTGAGAATTTCCGCTCCTAGCTCACGAGGCTGTTGGCTCCGTCCGCTCCTCCGCTCTAATTCGCACTAAGCCGCTCCCCTCAACACCGCTCCTCGCTCCACTAAAATTTCCTCCCGCTCCAGTCAAATCGCTTCAGTCTCGCTCCAGTTTAAAAGAGGGACAAATAATCTGCATGTCTAACAAATGTCACCTTAAACTGAAGCGTTATATCATAAAGAAATAGGAGCAACGGCAACATTGCCACTCAGAAAATATTTATTTTTAAGCAACATATAGGCAACAACGGACAGGTTTGGCAAATGTATTCCACACAAAAATATAGGCTTAAAAATAAAGGAATCAGTGGGCTTAATAGCCTAAAGAATATACAGGCTAAGCATCCACGTTTTAAATTCCTCAATTTTTTTCTGTTGATGCTGCTGCTGCGTCTCTCTATAAAATAAAATTTCACTGACAGCGTTACGTGAAATTTAAAAAATCCTATTAGACCTACTTTGAATGACAAAACGAATTTATTTGATTACCAGTATAATTTACTTTATGGGCTTTTATACTTTAATTTACTTTATAGTAGGGCTGTCAAAATTAACGGGTTAACGCGGATTAATTCATCGATCATCATGATTAATCTGATTAAAATTTTTAACGCAATTAACCCATCTGCAGTGCGGAATGACTCAAAATCCCTGAAATGTCTCTGTCAATCCATTTCGGGCAGTTTTGGTGCGTTTCATTTGCCCTCGGAACTCATATTCCGAGTTTTGAAGCCGGAAGTTCAGTAAACATGTTAAGTGCATAGGCCTATATATTGTAATACCTTCAGGTATTATGTGTTACATGTTATTCTGTTAAGTTTAGGTTCTGTACTTATGAGGGTGTGGTTATGGAATTGCGTGTGACGTGGGACGGACGTTCGTGGGTGGAGTCCTGGGGTGCGGAGATTCGGTCTCGGGGCTGGAGAGATCAGGGTTTTGGGGTTTTCGTTTGGAGTTGCTGTCTGTGGACATTTTCCACGGCCGCTTGCTGTTATTAAATCATCGTTCTGCAGTAAACTCTCTGAGATCTTGGTTCTTAAATCTGGTCATTACAATATATTCCCTTTTTTTCTTGAATCTGTTTGCTCATGCAAAATGAAATGCGATTAATATAGATTAAAAATGAATGATATTTAATCGTGATTAATCTAAATTTATCCACAGCAACCCTGTGATTAATCTGATTAAAAATTTTAATCGTTTGACAGGACTACTTTATAGACTTGATATGCTACAACCATATAAAACTTGCTTACGTTTTGCTCTGGCTTCCGCCTGTTCGCGTAGCACACTCTCATGTGATTCCAAAGTGAATCTTTACTCACTGAAACAGTTTCACCACACTGTTGTTCTTGCTCTACATTATTGTCATCTATACATTTGATAAGAATAGTACACTTCTATGATTTATCAGTTTCCTTTGTGAAATACTTTGCGAATTCCATCTCGGCCAATTTGTGTAACAGTCTTGATAATTGTATAGATGAATTCTAGGTAGATTTGGGCACGCCTCCGCGCTCTGACCATATTCCGCCCATTTCGCTCCTGGCTCACGCTCTGTTCCGCTCACATGCTCTGGGTATGATGACCCTTGACCCCCATGGAACACATCCTTGGTCCGTGAACAACTGGTTCTTCCTCATCCAGAATGAATCAGGGTTTGACCCAAACTTTGGCCATCTTCACAACGTAAGATCAAGGACCTTCATAAGGATCGGGTCATATGTTGAATCTTCTGGACAGCCAATTGATCAACAAGTGACTCCTGAAGTACTCATCTTCATTTCCAGTGCGACACTGCTTGCATTCATCAGTGCAGCCCTCCAGTGAAGGGACGAATCAAAATCGCCCATATTGCGGGATGTCCCGGACAATTCGGGACGGTTGGCAACCCTACTCGAAACAGAGATTTTTCAGATGCTGACTGAAAACTGAGTGAAAGAAGAAAATTCCCACAATGCATTGCAACACACAACAAGAAAAAAGATGGCTAGCAGTGTAGGGAAAGAAGCTCATATCTTTATAAATATGCTTGCAAAAAAATCTAATTTTAGCGGAATATCTATGTAAGTGAAACGGAGTATGAGGTTGAATTTTTCAAAAACAATTTTCTGAAAATCGCTAATTCCGTGCGTAGAGACAGAGCAGTATCTCTAGTATTTATAGAAAAAGAACCGAGCGGTCGAAGAATTAAGAACGTATTTATTCAGAGAGAGAGCATTCAAAGTCCTTTTTATGTAGTTTTTTGGTTACGACACTTTTGGGAAACTCACCCCCGATTGTTTTGTTTTTCATGCAATAGTCTTCTAAGTGCATTATTCTACATCGTGCAATATGTAAAAGACATTGTTCCTGACACATTGTTTATGTAAATCGTGTGCATGTTTTATAGAAATATTGCATGCAATATGCTTCATTTTAAATCTGCGTGTCATTGCCAAAGGAATGCTAATCCACAAATCGACAGTGTCATAATCATTCTGTAATATTCTAGGGACCCGTCAGTGGTATAATCATGTTGTAATGTTAAAGTGACTTGTCCGTGTTATAAGCATGTTGTACTATTCCAGGGACTCCCGAGCAAACCAGGCAGCTCATAAGCGAGTGGTGTCTCGATTCCTAGGTAAAGCTTTCAAGCCCTACCCCTTGTGGCTACGATCTGTGAAGTCAACTTCGGAAGGGAGGGCCCTCGAAATCTAGTGGTAGGGCTAAGGGAGGAGAAATGGAATTGGGCCTAAGTCTCTTTTCTCCTTTTACAGGTACGGGGGGTGTAGTGGTTTTTCCCTCCGCCAAATCAGAAGTCAGAAGCCGCTGGTGTAGATCCAAATCCAAGAAATTATTGCAACAATGAAGTTACAACCAAGGCCGGACACAAAGTGTGTCCATTACTGTTTTACACCAATTTTTTACACATTTTCTCATTGTGTAACAATACCTCGCCACTTAAGCATCATCATTCCCTCAACCAATCACCATCGTTGTTTTCTCCCTTAATCCACACCCCTATATGATAAGTTTTGTCAATCATCTCTTTTACTGTTTGGTGCCTCGGCTGAACATAAGGGTGACATGATCATCTCTACTCAGTGTTTTTTAAATGCCCAGCCGTGAACTTTTTGGTGAACTCAGGCGAATCCCTTCCTTCAGTAGCAAACCTTGGCAGCTTCTGCTTGTTGCAGATTGTCTGGCCAGGTGGTTGTCCTTCAACATAGTGATAAGCTGCAGCACTAATAAAGTACATATTCATACACTAGAGGCTAACAAAATGGCTAACAGATACAGAAACTTCTAAGCCAACACAAGGTGCTCATTCATACTTGTTTTTTGTCACATTGTGCACAGCAGTAATTGGTCTGCATTCTGTGAAGGTTACAAAGTCACTCTCTACACAATTTGCATCAGCTTCTTAAAAGAGTCCTAATGATTACATTCTCTATGCATTATGAAATGCTAAATAATATTCCATATATTTATGAAGTGCTAAATAATATTCCATAGGGGCAAGCGTGAGCATAGTTACCGTATTACCCCTACTACTGCTACCATTCCGTAAATGCATTGAGTTACAAACTACAGGAAACAGCTGTTTTCCAAAAGGTCATTTAGATTCTACATCAGGACTACATTTGGTTAGGGTGACCAGATAATCCATGTCAGGGAGGACACTTTGAGCTACTTCTGGTTTTACAAACTACTTTCAAATTGAAAGGCTCCTGCGCTCGACTAAATAGTTCAGCTCTTCTTGTGCTTTGACTGGTTTGTTTCCTTGACTGAAAGACTCATCCAGCTCTTTCACATTAACATTAGTGACACATGCACGATTATAGGAGACTGACCAATCAGCACACAGTAAGAACTCAGTTGTAAAGTTGAATACAGGTCTTTTTAATTGAAATGGTAATTTACAATTCCTGTCCTAGCTCAGAGTGTCCTCCCTGACATGGATTATCTGGTCACCCTACATTTGGTGCAGCAACCCAGATGAGAGCTTAAAGTTCAGTGAGTTTTTGCATTCTCTTTATGGGTTTTATAGTCAGAATAAAGTCCTAGTTTTTTCCGTGAGCCGTTGTTTTTACCACCGAATGTGGTGAACAGAGAAGCGTGTCTGAGTCAGTGTAAAAGAAAAACAATCACAAGGCACGGCCTTTAAAAGGTAACAGTTTTAATCTATAACAAAATCTGCATGAATAAGAAGAAAAAAGGCATGCAGTACTGATTGGTCAACTTAGGGTTAATTCATTGCTTACAAGCATATATGTAGCATCCCTTTGTGCACTAATAGTAACAAGGGAGCTACCCTGAATTCTTTTCTACTCAGTACTTTTTATAATTAGGGTTACATATCAATGCTTCTCCTCACCCAGTTAATTCTAAAGCTGTCAGCTATTAAAGTAATTCTTCCAAATTAGCTTAGCATGCATACACATTTACCATACCAGACATGTACTCCACACATCATACCCGTCGATTCTTTTTAAAGCCCAAAACACATAAATGCATGCATCACTTTACACGAAAAGAACATATACTGTACAACACAGGAATGCAATGAGAAGTAAATGCAACTATTTACTCATTTTTACCATTTTGTACAATAAATTTCACCCAGGAGCAAAGTCTCATCCGTCCTTTTAACCCAAAATGGAGAAAGTCCTTAAAAGGTTTAAATGAACTAAAATAAACAACAGAAGGCAGATTTGAATAAATGAAATCAACGCTCCTATACTGTACGTTGCAGGCCTGTACTGAAACTTGGGCTCGGTGTAGCCAAAAAGTGAAAAAGGCTGCTTCACGCTTGTGTGCTACTGTACAAGCGCACAGGAAAATTAAACACTCCAACACTCACAATTTCCCTGGCGAAATCAATTCCTATACTTACACCATAAAAATAAGCAAACAAATATAATTATACTTATACTTATAATTATACATATTAGGCCTACAGATGTAATTCCTTTCGAATCACTGCAGATCTTTATCTGGATGCATTTCTAAAAATGGAAAAGGAAACATTATTTGATCATATACTATTATGATTGTTTTACAAAGTGAATTTTTCATTCGTTACATTAAAGTGTACTTAGTATAATGTTCCACTGCAACAAATGATGGAAGGATCATTTATATTTGTTGTTGATTCTAATGTTAAAGTAAATAATACCTAGACGAATCCTACCCCGTCAGTTACCTCCCAAAATACACAAAGAACGTTGTTTTAAGTATTGTTGCTTTTTCTAACAAATATCTAAATTAACTACTGAAGCATAAAGCCAAAAGCCTGGACTTAAGAAGACAGAATATATCCGAGGCACTTTGGAGTTCATTCTGAAAAAAGCCGCACATCCAGCCTTCCTTACCTCTCTCACTACGGTACAATATTTCTCTGGAGTGCCAGCGCTCATCACTGTTGTGTAAATCGTTGTCCTAGAAAACAACTTGTTCTCAGCCACAGACAATACATAGTGACATGCTGCACTATTCTCTGTGACTTTCAGGCAACGTTTCAAAGCTGCACTGTCGCAGCATATGACAGACTGCGCTGCTCTCCATGGTAACATACAGGGATATTTTACAGAGAGGAGAAAAATTACTTATACTCACTCATCGCATGTTGGATATACTGTCAAAACCTGTCAAAACATTAAGTCTTAGCTGCTGAACTGAAGCATTTTTTCCCAATCAAGTGAAACAGGTTTAACATTTTTTTGGTTTTGACATGACTCGTGCATCCTCAGTACAGCTTGTGTTTACAAGGATTAGTCTACCTACCTTAAAAAGTGAATCAAAAGTAATGTTCTCTTGACCAGTAGCATTTAAGGCGTTGATGGTTGGTGTTCTGAGGGAAAAAAGGTAAAATAGTGATGACTGTTTTAAATAACAGCATGACTGAGTGTTTTGAGACTTGGCCTCACCTATGTTTGTCTGTATCTGGTGGAGGATTCCAGTGATCATAGTTGGTCTGTACCCTGAACCACCTGAAGTAGAAAAAAATCACATCACTCTTATGGTTTGTGAGACTATACAGTGCAATAAGTGTATTACCCCAGGCTATACATACGCTCCTCAGGTTACGATGGCCTGTGTTATGTTGTTACCGACTTTATTACAGGTATTCCAATTCCATTCTGTTTTTCACTTTCAGTACATTATTCCATAAATTACATGAGATATTCAACACTTAATTATAAAATAAGTATTGTGTTAATGATTCTGCCTAACTGTAGGCTAATGTAAATGTAAACATTCTAAGCATGTTTAAGGTAGGCTAGGCTATGATGTTTGTTAGGTTAGGTATACTGTATTAAAATACACTTTCGCTTTACAATATTTTTGCCTTATGATTTATCAGAACGTAACCCGGGGAGCATATGTAGAAAGAATGAATACAGTGCTAAAGAACATAAACTGAAAGGCAATAGAGAGAAGCGATATGTGGGAATATTCCTATACATGTCTCGAGCAGTCAATGAAAATGGTGTTTATATTACTTTCTGATTGGTGTAAAAGCATGACATCATGTCTCAGTGTGCCAGCTCTGCCATTTAAAAACCTTTCCTAACTCCAAAGGAGTGTTCATCTATATATACGCAACAAGTTTCCAGCTATGCAGTAGGTTTTCCGAAAACATAGATTCATTTTATTGTGTTAGTGTCAATTTGCATATGTTCTAATGTTAAACTGTGTTTTTTTCTGAGCATATATATGCTAACTACCCAGATAAATAGCCTTAAACATTTTCTTTGACTGCCTAAGAATTTTGTATGGTATATAATTTGGTTTATATAATTTTTTAATCTGAAGGTATATTTGTACCCATGTGGAATAGGATCCAGCCAAAACAAAGTTCTAAAACTTGTGTGACCGGATAAAGCCAAAATGCTGTTACCTGTACAGAAGGAAACCTTAACTGCTATGTGTTTAAGGAAGGCGGGGGGGCCACTCACTGTCCATGGGGAGGATCAAGCTCCCACACGTCTGCTTCTCCCGAGCTATTCCTGGTCACCACTGCGCCCTCCCCTGGCTGCACACCGGCCACGATGTAGTAAATATGGGTGATGATGGGCACCTTGGACAAGCGCTCCAAGGCATCCTTATAGCTTGCTGCCTCTTCCAGGGTCTGACAGGGACACAGCGAAGGCCCTTATAATAACTGGTCACCCTCTACCTCAGAGCAATCACAGGTGAACGGTCACTTCAATTCATGCAAATGGGGCTTTCATTAAGGTATCTCCGTCCCCTGTGCCTTTGTTCCCAGTCTGTCTCCCAAACGTAGCAATTCTACAGCACTCCTGTTATGGCACAATGATCGTTGTTTTCCCTACAACTTGGCATCTCCTAAATCAAACAATTATTCAGAAACAGAGCCCTGTGAACAAATAAAGAATATGGTAGCTATTGCTAGACCAAGATCTGAACCTAAACATTCGACTAGGGGCTCCTGTGCAGATAATTTAATATCAATTCCACTGGTAAGGTTAAATCAGACTCAAGAGAAACCAAACATAAAAAGCTCATTGTTGAATGTTCACTCTCTTAGAATCGAATCACTTCTTAATATGGATATGGTGCTAGACACTGAATCAGACCTGTGACTATTAACAGATACCACACTTAGCAGCTCTATTATTCTCACTATAAATTGCCATTAGTAACTGCATAATAACAACACATAATGTTAACTTACAGAGTATTCAAAATGCAGCAGGCAGAACTGTTACTAGGAGCAGAAAGTATATACACATATCCTGCTATTCTGTTAGTCTTTGAAGTATGAATATGTACTTTATTAGTGCTGCAGCCTATCACTATGTTGAAGGACATATATATTATTAACCATCTAGCCAGACCATGTGCAACAAGCTGAAGCTGCCAAGGTTTGCTCCTGAAGGAAGGGATTCGCCTGAGTTCACCAAAAGTTCACGGCTGGGAATTTAAAAAACCAACTAGAGATGGTCACGCCACCATTATGTTCGGCCGAGGGACCAAGCAGTAAAAGAGATGACTGATAAACTTATCATCTAGGGGTGTGGATCAAGGGAGGAAACAACGATGGTGAATGGTTGAGGGAATGATGATGCTTAAGTGACGAGATATTGTTACATGATAAGAAAATGTATAAAAATTAGTGTAAAACAGTATTGGACACTCCTGTAGGGTGTCCAGCCTTGGCTGTAACCTCGCTGTTGCAATAAAGACTGAATCTGAAGATCTACAGTACACAAGCGACTGATTGGCAGGGGAAGAAAAAACCACAACAGCATCAGCCACAGTCAACTGTCAATATATGGTGGAATAAGGACAAAGCAAGGAAGAAAGTCTTTGTAGCAACTTGGTGCAGCGAATACAAGTAAAGCACTGCGACCTCACATCTCCGAGCAAGTGCAGTCTATGTGACAGCGCTTAACCTCGGGCAGCTGTTTCTCCCACACCCACAGGAAAAGCAGCTTCCTGTTTTCAGCTTTTGAAACTAGCCAAACCCAGCTCAGTGTTCTTGCCAGTGACAGTGAAGCGTATTCCTATGTCTTCTGCACATCTACTAAGATAATACCCGTTCTTTGTCATTTTCCACTACGTATGTTTATAAGACACATAATACGCACAGATCACAGAATGCAGAGGTATGTTCCACAAAGCAAGATTTCTCGGTTAGCTGGGTTCATTTAAGCTAGAAGTCATCACTTAAATCAGGGCTGCCCAACCCTGCTCCTGGAGAGCTACCACCCTGCAGAGCTTAGGTGCAGCCCTAATTTAACACACCTGATACAGATAATCAGGCCCTTCAGTTATATCACAGTATGAGAGTCAGCTATGTTGAAGTTAAGCTGGTTCTCTTACTGAGATATAACTGTAGGGTGGTAGCTCTCTAGGAGCACGATTGGGCACCCCTGGCTTAAATTAACCCTTCAGGCTTAAGTTAACCCAGCTGAGAAATCTTGCTTTGTGGAACACCTCCATCCCCAGCAGTCTGTTTGTTATCCCACATATAAAGTACACCACATATAAACATATGGTAGTAGTCTTTATCCACAGGGCCCCTATATTATGCAATGGTTTGCCAGTTCATGAATGGGATTTATTACATTAGTCTTGCTCGCCCACAACTTAAAACACAACACACTGTGACTGACTATGAGTATAGTTTACACCCTTCATTTATGAAAAGCAGATTCATTTTGGTTATATTCTATAATGTTAGCATGCCTGGGGTTTGGGCAACCAGTCGACCTTGAACCCTCAGAGGTCTTATTTTATTCAATTCCTAAAATTTCAGTTGCTCTATTTTCTTTTGAAATAGCTGTAAAGCACTTTGCTAAAGAAATGACCAAATAAATAAATAAACTGCACAAATACCCACCTCTCTGATGAGCCAGCTGGCTAAGGTGACATTCTCCAACGAAAACCCATCATCTGTGAACAAAGAGTCATCAAACCACTATACTGATAAACACATGGCATGTGACCCGTGACTCTCCATGTTACATCAAGGGCCAGACGTACCGCGTTGATTTCCAGAGATGGTGAATTTATTTGCACTTTGTCCTGTCCACAGGCCAATATAGCCGGCAAAGGAGGTCCCTCTATAGGCCACCTAAAGAAACACATTTATAAGCGATTTTGTTTTGTAAGGCATATCTGTTGCTCACATTTTTTAATCCCTAAAACATTAAACAACACGTAAAACATTAATGTAAAACATAGAATAACAGCAATAGAAGTAAAAACATTCAGCCTTAGAAGCTGCAACTGGACCACATACCTTTCCATCTCTCATAAATAGAATATCAACTGTGAGTTTTCTCGCAGCCTTCACAAATAATGATGATGATTCGTTATTATTATTAAATGGCTTGTCCAAGTTCCTCCCATGGTAGATACGGCCATTTGTGTCCTGTGCGACAATACTCGTGCAAAACCTGAGGCATGGAAGAGGTTATAATTTTAGTTTCAGCTTTTGTGTTGAGTGGGTTAGAGCAGACACCTTGAAAACTGTCACCTGTCTGCTAAAGAGCAATATTAGCTTCCATCATAAAACATTAAATACATAGTCTGGAGTCGAGCAATAAATGCAGTGGTTCTGCACTGAGTACATACGCTGTCAATTCATAGGCAAAGTTCAGGAGGATGATGTCAGTGATGTTAACTCCAGATAGGGAGGCCAGTCCCTGGATTTCTCCTGCATACTGCCGTGGCATGTAAGCTTCCAAGTCTTCTAGCTCAGGTTTGATGTCTGGATGTAACTTTTCTGCTTCACCTTGCCTGAACTGGCTATAACAGGAATAAAAAAATACTGGGATCAAGGTTTCCCACTATAAATGAATCAGCATAAAGTAAAGGCAGTTCCTTATCTTCCCTCAGTTAATGTTACATTTTACACAGCGACCCAACTTTTTGGGGTGTATTATTCGGTGATCCTCCATCCTCGTTCCACAGTTACACCATCGCATAAAATAGTAGGGGCCCCTCTGACAACTCTAATAGTCCAGGGACCTCTTACAAGTAATTGGAACTTTTCAGTCACATTACAGGCAGTAGAAACAAATTTAATATTGTGGACATTTTTGTGATGCGGTTTGTGTACTTACTCAATGATCTGAGGCACAATCTCTCTGAAATAGCTCACGTTAATCATTTTCATCAGCGGTGCCCATCTTTCTTTCGGTGGCTCGTCCAAACTGACTTCGACGATCCGTGGTGGAAATTCTGCATAACACCACGCAGCCAGCGTTAAGGGGATTAAAGTGAGAGAGCACTTCATAGTTTCATTACAATACAAGTCCGTAGATACCTTCGTACAGACAGCAGCGCGGCACTAGTTCCTATTTACAGAAGTCAGTAACAGTACCGCCACTTAAGGCCACATGACCAAGGTCAGATAGGTGTTCTATTGTTGTAGTGTCTATCCGAAGGTGTACACAATGAGTGAGAATTTGGGGGTCCTCTTCTTCTTTTCAGTGGTCCAAAATGAAGATTGGACAAACTGGACAATTACTGGTCAGCCAGGCGCTCCCACAGGGTCACATGGTAACTGCCATCGTAAGGAATCCTGGCAAAATGACAACCACCCACGAAAATCTCAAGGTAATCTTTATCAGTAAAGGTATTCTAAATGTACAGTAGGTAGAGAAGTTAAACGATTTGTATTGCTGTTTGTTTATACTCAGTCAAGTGGAATCATTGGACAAATGTGAAGCCAGAAGAGGACTGAATGTTTGTTTTGATAAAAATGGTACATTTAACATTTTCTGACACATCACCAGGTGGTATAGGGTGACATATTTTCAGAGAACAATCTCAAGTTTCATTTTACAGTTGTTATTTCCTGTCTGGGCTTGCCACCATCCTGGTGGTTCGGAGCATCCGGCTACACCACCTCCATGAAGGCAGCAGACAGCACAATGCACGAGGTCATGGTGAATCGGCTCATTTCTATGACTTCCTGGTAACAAAGGGAAAACCCTGTCAACAATTCCCTGAAAGTCACTCACTGAACGGCATGTTAATGTGCAGATACGTCTGCTTCTACTTTAAAAGCAGAGTCGGGCACTAAGTCGCCCTTCCTCATCCATTTCTTGCTGCTGCCCATAATTAGAAGTGTCTTGATGAACATGTATGAGATGGAGCAATATCTGAAGATGGAGTACATCAACTGGACTGTGGTCAGACTCGCTGGGCTGCGGAATGAGTCTGCCACAGGTAGCACAGCACAAATGGCAGATTTCCGCATTTTAAACTGCTTGTGGACAAAATTCAATGGATCATACAGTCATCCTGGCCAGGATATTAGGGGTGGAGATGGTGGCTAGAGCAGGCAGCATCGGACACAAGGAGGGAGTACACCCTGGGCGTCACGGGAGACATACATACACACAGTCAGAGGTGGAGATTGTCAGGTGCAGAGAAGTTCAAATCCAGACCAAGATTTAGTTTCAACCAACCAGTTGAGTATAATGAGTCACAGTCACAGAGGACTCAACTGCTTGGTTGAAACAACATCTTGGTCTGGATTTGAACTCTCTGGACCTGAAATCTCCACCTCTGCACACAGTCACATGCTATGGCAATATAAAGATGCTAGTTAGCCATTGAATTATATGAGGAGACTGGAGTACCCAAAAGAAACCTGTATGATACAGGGAGAATAAGCAAACTCCACACACACAGCAGGGTGACTGGGATTCAAAGCCTCAAGCCTTTAGCTACTATACCATCTGCTATAACATACATCAATTACCACATTTCTCAGGGAGCCCATAATTAACCTTCTAAAATTGCATACACTGTCCCTTATTCAGTACAGGTATGTAGAGTCAGGCCTCCGTATCTGCGGGTTCCGCATTCGCAAATGCAACCAACCTCAGATCAAAAATTATTGGAAAAAAAATCCAGAAAGTTTTTAAAAAGAGCAAAACTGGAATTTACCACCTGCCGAGCACTACTCTGAATCCATGCAAATGAAGTGATGTGTAGTTTTCGGTGTTGGTGAGTTTTAACACTTTGTGTGTTTGTGTGTGTGGATTATGTTTATATGACAATGTGCAGACCAAATGTCCCCCACAATGTAATAAACACCTGTTATTTTGACATTGTGGGGAACATTTTTCAGGTCCCCACAAAGAGCTGTGAATGCAATCAAAAAACTAAAAATTCCAAAAGTCTCGTATTTAGTTTGGTTACTTATGGTTAAGGACAGGGCTGGGTAGGGGTTAAGGTTGTCATGTTGGGATTAGAGTTTTCCACATAGAAATGAAGAGTCCCCACAAAGATATAATTACAAACCTGTGTGTGTGTGTATTTGTGTGTGACAGAGAGAGAAAGAGAGAGAGACTGAATTTATATTTTCCCTGTTTATAATTATATTTTCTTTGTGTACAATGATGGTTGTACTGAACACAGTTTTTTCCTTGTCATTATTCCCTAAACAGTACAATATAACAATTATTTACATAGGCATATTAGGCATGATAAGTAATCTAGGGATGATTTAAAGTATGCGGAAGGATGTGTGTATGTTACATGCAAATACGATGCTGTTTTTTCATATAAGGGACTTTTTTATAAGGAATTTTTGTTTTCCGCGGAGGGTCCTGGACCCAGTACCCCGGTTATGGTGGGCCGACTGTATTTGCGTTTGCCTGTGATGCATGTAAATAACTTCATTGCCACTAGGGGTCTCCAACTCACAACACACGGCAGTGATCTGAGTTCTATGGCGGTAATTACATTTGAAGACTTACAAAGGACACATTAGATGCATCATACTGGGAGTACAGCATAAGCTCTAGTTATCCACACAATTCACTACCCACAATTTTACAAGAAGTCTTATGAACATCTATCAGAAGCACATAAAACAGCAGCTTGTTTGTGACACCGTTTGGTGTTCTGTATTCTCAGACAAAGAATTCCTGACCCATGAGGAATACTTTATTCCTGATGCTAGTGGAAATCCTGTTGGCAGTTCAGTGGCCCGGATCATGCTGTTCCTTCTGAACAACGATGACTGGATGGAAAAAGGGGTTTGCCGTCACAACAAAATAAACTGCTCTTTCTGCCAAAGAGGCACAAGTGACAACACATACTGTGCATATGTTGGATAAACTGCACATACACACAAGAGTCACCAGCCCCAGCAATAGAAATTCCCACCTTAAACTGCCTGTTTTCAGAAGATATGAAACACCCACTGACCGCTAACAGAGTTATGACATTCTCGTGATTAATGTGAAATTAACGTTTTGCGTACATTAAACAGGAAATGGCTTTTTCAATTCATGTTTTCTATTCAATGAATGACTAATGTACACATTTACAGCTTATTATTATTTGAATAATGATTTTGTTCTCATCACTGAGTATCATTGCAATCCCTGCAATTGTAAGCTGTTTATAAAATGTTTGGAAATGGTCATTTTAATATTATTTTGTTTGCACGTATTTACTGTCACTGCATAAATAAATGCATCGTTATCTTGTCATGACATGTAAACGGTAAAATTTCCATGCATCTAATACAACTAGTATAACTTATCCAGCACAAGATCAGGTAAGCATATTGCCAGGATGCATTAAGCATGAGGTAGGAGACACTCTGAACAGGATGCCACTCCATTTGCAGGCACATGCTCACACACTATGTGCAACAATTTCTGATTGATGTTTTTCAATTGAAGAAGTACGCTGGAGTACCTGGTGGAAACAGTGCAAACACAGAACTTGCAAACTGCGCATGCCAGCGGCAGGATTTACACGTTAGAAATGTGTTTCCCAACCAGTCCTTGGGGATCCACAGATGGTCCATTTTTTGCTCCCACCCAGCTCCCTGTCAGACAGTCTAAATTTTTGCTCCCTCTCAGCTTCCTGCTAGACAGACCGCATTTTTGCTCCCTCCCAGCTCCCTGCCAGACAGACCACAATTTTGCTCCCTCCCAAACAGACCACATTTTTGCTCCCTCCCAGACAGTCTACATTTTTGCTTCCACCCAGGTCCCTGCCAGACAATCAACATTTTTGCTCCCTCCCAGACAGTCTACATTTTTGCTCTCTCCCTGCTTTCTGCCAGACAGACCACATTTTTGCTCCCTCCCAGACAGACGACATTCTTACTCCATAGGAGGGAGCAAAAACGTGGACTGTCTGTGGGTTCCTGAGGAGCGAACTGAGAAACACTGTGGCAGAGGTGTGAGGATACAGTGTTGGCCACTGAGCTACCATCTACCCAGGCTGTACAAAACAGACACACAAGCTGTGAGACCTTTGATGTTAAGGTCAGGCTATTTGCATAGGTGTGAAACCATAATACTTTCACCATTTCAGGTAATTTAGGAGCTACTAAAAATGTTACTGCAATACTACATATGTTGGACTTGTTTTATGCTTTAGCAATATGATTTTTGGTGTGGGAAAATACATACAAGGATTGGCAGTCAGGAACACTGTTGCCTCTATATGTTTGCATGCTTCTCCATGTCATGCAAGGTTCCTGCGGCTACTTGAGTTTCCTCCCATGAACTGTCCAAAGGCATGCAGTTAGGTTAATTAGTGTCTTTAAATTGCCTTTACTGTATGTGCCATGTGATGGACTGGGATGCTGTCCAGGATCTAGTCCAGCCTTGTGCCCACGTGTCCCTGGATAGTATCCTGGTTGCCTTGTGACCCTGACCACAATGAGGGGTTCAAAGATGGATGGATGGAATATGCCGGCTGTAGTCTTTATTTCAAAATGTCTCCTAAAATGGTAATGGGGTTTCTGTCCACTTTGTAAGTGGCTCAGGCTCAGCAGGCCTGTGATCTGAAGGACACCGGGTTGGTCTTGGTAGAATAGTCACTAGTCTGTGGGCCTTTCAGCATTGCCCTTACCCCCAGCTACAAGGCTGCTGGCCCTTAGCTGTGATCTCATGGAAAGCAAGATGGTGCAGAATGAAAAAAAGAGATTAAGGGATTAAGAAAGTATCACTATTTCAAATCATTGGTCATAAATAGAAACCAATTTATATGGTTTAGAAAATTAAATAATAACCACCTATAATGAAACACAGAAGTACTACATTTGCGAAGCAGAGACATATGCATATTCACTCAGCATCAGCTATTTTGATCTTCAGTTTAACCCAGAAATGTATATATGCTCATTCTGTAGAAAAGAAACATCTGCAAGAATCAGACAGAAGTACAATTCGAACTTCCCATAACTATTTTCCCAGTTGATAGATAGATTGAAGGACAATTAAAACCTTTTGAGTAATATTCCTAGACTGACACAGGAAAACATGAGGAACGTATTCACGAAAAGGGACAGAAATGTAATTGTGAAAAATTCTAAAAAGTTAAATTAATGATATCGCCAGCAAAAAAAGTTCGAACAATATAATAAAGATTAAAACAAATGCAAACAATTTACAATTCCGCTGAACACATTTTTATCGTACCGTCTTAATAAATAAAAACTCTGCAACTACGATTATGTGTCTAGAGTTGCATATTTTACTACAGCGATTACTGACGTGTGAAGCAAGAGGCGGGAAGAAACCTGGCCGCAAAAATCCGAAATGCTTGTTTGTATTTCACTAGGATATTAGAAAAACAACAGACTCCGTTAACCTTTTTCATTATAATACATTTCCTTATTTACTACGCATCTGCTGCATATCCAAAGAATACTGTGAGGGAAAATTGTCAGCTAGGCATTTACACGCCTCATTCGTATTATTTCTTTGTTAACAAATAGTGCGGTATTATTCCCTACAGACGAAGCCTTTAGCGCACACGATCAGCAGAACTGAAATCCCAGCCTTGTGCTGTAACGAGCACAGAGCATATAAGTAATTTCACCATTAATTAAGGTAGATAAGAGTAGCGCATTCTACACTGAGCATTTTAAGGTATTGCCTTTTTAAGTATTTGCATGTACATGAATCATTCAAGGCATAATAGTATCATCTGACTATGAATGGAGAGCTTCATTCGCGCAGTGATGGACTGGCAACAATGAGGATAATTTGATTCATAATTCAAAATGATTCATTTCAATGATTGTGTGATCAAGACATGCATTCTATCCAGCTGGAAAACAGCTCGCAGAGGTGGTAAGAGGTGGACAATGGGTGAGTATCTCAGCGCAGAAATCCCTTTTCTTCCAGCTGCTGTTTTTGGACTCTGACGTCAAGTGTGCCTCCGCCCCCTCGGTTTCCATAGTAACCACTTTGCCTATCCCCTCTTTATCTTTTTTTTCCTCCCTGGTAGCTTCCAAACTGCCAGTGGTATGGCCAGCATCTTGCACCACAATGGGTCCCCGGCGGTGAGCGGAGGGGCGATTCAACGAGACGTCTTCGCTTTTACTTCTATATTTCGCTTTTAAAATCGAGTGCCTCGTCGTCCGTTTGTGCACTGCAGGATTTTGGCGACACCTCTCCCCCTCCCTCGATCGCGATGTTTTGTCCATCGTACGTCGGGATGTTTTGAAGGGGATCGTCGGTTCCACCGGAGCAGGACTGTCGTCACGCTTTAGCTGGCGCGGAATGGTAGGTGCTGCGGCGGGGAGACCGCAGAAGGGTGGGGTAACCTGATAGTGAAATATTGATTCATGCAGGAAAGCGGATGCGATCCCTTGCAGCTATCCCGGGATGCACAATGACAACGATAATGCTGTTTGCTTTAAAATACATATCCGGCCAGGTAAATTTTCAGTCAGCCTGCATGTTTTGGAAAAATGGCATAACCACACAATAGCTAAACCCTAAATTTAGATTTCATTCATATTTACTTTCCTATGTTCAATCGTTTAATTCCTTAATTCTCATGAATAAACGCCAGTGATCGGAGTTTAATTATCCGCTTTTAGCTGTTAAGCGACCGGCCGCATGTTTGGCTAAATTGCATGGCATGATTGCGGTAATGAACGTGTTGAAATCCCTTCCCCCACCAACAATTCAAAATGTAACACCTAATTGCAGCTAAAATCATGCCATTTTATTACTGGATAGCTTTTTATGTCATTGCACTTGAAATTAATAGTTAACATAGTTGAAATTTGAAGACCTTACAGTATTGGAGTACTGTGCCTTAACAATGTGACACAACTGTGCGACAGATCGGTTTGGACACATGAACCGTCCGTGGCCCAGTGAGGGGTATGTGTAAATTTCAGCATTATAACATGTTTTCCGACCTGGCCGTACTGAAACTTAGATTTTTTGTAATGGAATATTTTTTTTAATGGAAATACACTTGACGTTTGGACTTATTGCTATTATTATTATTAGCCTATTATTATTATTATTATTATTATTATTATTATTATTGGTGTCGTTGTTTTTAATAATAATAAAAATATTAATACAGTTTAAGCACTTTTCAGGTGGTGGAAGAGGAATTCGTACATAAGGCCGATTTAGCAAACATACATTCTTGTTGAGGTTGCCGGTTTGGTTTCACGTGTGTAAATCTAAAATGTGAATAGAGTTAAATCATTCCAGCAAAAGGGATAAGCAATCCACCATAAATATTTTTTATTACTTGCGTACGGATAAAAATTTAGTATTTTAAACGTTTGTGCGATTTTAAAACCATTTTATGGACCCTTGTCAATACTGTTTTAATCTTGTTGTCGATTGGGTAACCAGTAAAAGAGGGTGAAATATTTGATGTATAATATTAAAGGTCACACAACCCGGAGCGAGATAAGCTCTTAAAAGATGGATGGAGGGGTTATCTTAAAGGGAAAGAATGATTTACTGAAGACTGTATGTCTGGTTGGAGATTAATTTTAATATAAGCCTACTCATAGTATTATGTATATATGAAGAAATCCAATGGATGGTTACAGCTTGGTGAGTAATGTGTTTTAGCTTGGAACGACTCACGCTTATTGAGATGAGCTACATATTGCTTGTCTGCAAGAGCAGGGCGTGAGTAACTGTATAACACTATCAGTGTTTTCACTATCAGTGAAAAGCCTTCTTGTGTATGGGGCCAAACACTAACTTCAGTAATGGCTGCAATGATACCCTTCACTCACATTTTAATGGTATTTTAGTTCCACTTAGTCAGATAAGCTGGCTGAGAGGAAACAGGGACAAAGTTATGAAATGTAGAGCTATTAAAGAGTTTTCCTTGCGACTCCATGCGCCGCATTCGGATTGATCGTGCACGCCGTCCCTGGCTTCCGTTCTGCATTGTCATTGTTTACCTCCACCGTAGAGTTTGCGCATTGACATGGCATTAAAACCGTGCTGCCATCCTGGTTTGTTCTTGACAAAGAGCCGTTCTGACAGTCGTGAAACAGTCTGTTCGCGTGAAAGAGATTCGGCGCGACGCCGATGCAGAGATAAGGCGGCACGTCCGGGAAGGCGCAGACCTGTGTCACCTGGTGCAGTGAGATTCGGACGGAAGCTCCGGTGGGAGGGTTCCCTGACACAGAGCGATGCGGTGCTGCTTAAT